CTTCTTTTATTAAGAAAGGATGCATTAAATTGATGAAAAGTGACATTAACCACTTACACTTTGTTACAAAAGATTTCTATTTCAAATAAAATCTGACTTTCTATTCATCAAAAAAATCCTGAAAATAAAAATAATTACAGTTTCCACCAAAAAATTAAGCAGCACAGATGGTTTCAATATTGATAATAATAAGAAATATTTCTTGAGCATATTAGAATGGTATACTGATGGAGTAATGATGCTGACATTCAGATTTGATTTCACAGGAATTAATTACATTTTAAAATAGAAAAGTTATTTTAGATTGGAATAATATTTTAATATTATTGAATAGTTTTTACTGTATTTTTGATCAAATAAATGCAGCCTTGGTGAGCATAAGAGATTTCTTTCAAAAATAAGCTAAGATTACAAAAAAGCTTTGGTTGATTTAAACATTTGTAAAAGTGGGCATCTGTAAACGTACATATTTTGTCACCTTTAATAAAAGTAGTAGTAATATTTGCTGTTTATTTATAAAGCACATATTAATGCCTTATTCTGCATGACCATATTCCAAATCCCTTAATCCTACCCAATACCTAAACTTAACAACCTAACTAACTACTATAAATAAGGAATAAATTAGGAGTTTATTGAGGCTAAAGTTGTAGTTAATAATGACTGCGTTCCCGATACTATAGTGTTAGCATTTAGATTTTTTTACTAAAAAATATACTGATATATCAATAATACTAGAGTTTTTGCAGTCAGGCTCTTTGTCTGTAATATAAGTTTGATTATGGTTTCCCATAGGAGGCGATGCTAAGGAAGTGATTGCTCGGATGTGGGATGGTGGTAAGCTATTTCACTCCTTCACACACTTCACTTGGGAACATGGCCATCACTCAATAACACACTGATATATTGATTTACCTAAGAGAGCAACAGCATTAAAACGACAAAATGCTGATATGTGGGAAACGAAACCACATGGACATTCTGCAAACCTCAGATCCATTAAACACTGCACCATTAATATGTTATTATGTGTATTTAATGGTTAAGTGTTTTCATAACCCAAGTGTCCGTGTAGAAATTGAACCCATGACTTTGGGGTTGGTTGCACAATGCAACAGAAAACAGAGAAAATACAGAGTTACACAGACATGCTAATCCTCATCTAGACAACTTTCTCAGATAATGACCACAAAAAAAAAAAAAAAAAACTAACACTAATTCACACTATATGCATTTTGTAGCCAAGCCTACACCTTCTGCTTCTACAGCAAGTGTCTTTTAAATAAACGTCCTGTTAGAAATAAACACTTTAGTGAAAAAGTGTGACTAGCCCCTGTCTGCCCTACTCTATCTGAATCTGGCGCCATCTGTTGGTTAACTAAAGAAAGTTTTGTTATTTCTCTCTCTACATTTGAATCCATGAAATTTATTGTTCTTTACATCGTCATAAAGAAAAAAAAAACTTTTCTGACACATAGTCATTAAATTATGCCAGACTTTCATTTCCTTATTAAGTTGCAGCAATTATTGTGCTGTATATTATGGATGAGAAGATGGAAACACTGCATATTAACAACGAGCCTGATAATAAGTGCTTAGTTCACCCAAATTTAGTTCCAAAAATGTGGACGCAAAGTGGCTCCAAAAGACGGGATACATAGGACACCACCCCTCCTGCAGATAAAGTTAGGCTATGTCCCGACTTAACTTACGTGATGCAGAGGGAATCCAGAAAATGGAATTATTCACATTACGCAGATGTCACGTAAAACACGCAAAATAATGGATGGAAAGTAGAACTCTACAATAAATCCAATCGCGCCATGGTCTGTGAATATTCAAGCACAAAAATACATAAAGTGTAAATATATAATATAACCGTACTGTTGTGGTGGTGAGCTGCGCCGCTGTCTACTACATACTCAAGTACGTGTGACTTTCATGTGTTTTCAGCGTCTCACACACTAATTTTTGAGGATTTGAATATATGAACTTTCCAAAGCTGCTATGAGAGAACGTCTAATGAGCATTTTCATAATTTTATTTCTGAAAACCCCTCTGTCATATTTAACGGCTCTGGGCCTACACTTTGAAACACTTTTTTTTTTTTTTTTTTTTTTTACATTTTTGACCTTCACTAAGTTACAACCCGTCAAAATAAAAGTTATGAGAAATTATGACAGACATAAATTAATACTGTAGACATACAATATAACGTAGCCTACTTAACGACTCAAATAATACATATTATATTTAAATATTATTTAAAGGAATATATTTTCTGTTTCTTTACAGCGCTTCCCCAATCCCCACAAAATAAAAGGAGACCAGTTTAAATTTGTGTAAGGTTGTCATCTCTTGGCAGTTTGGGGTTTTCTGGTGGAAACATTTTCACTGGCCACAGACACAATCTATAGTATTGAGAGTGAAAATTTTGCAGGAATAAAGGTCCAAACTTGGCCCATGGGTCTTCTGCAGCAGCCTGATAGATTTCTAAAAGAGAAAATAAACTGGCCAGCCATTGAGAAGTGAAATTCATACTTTGAACTGACCGAGTTTTTCCAACTTGTAATAGTTAAATACACCAGCTCCACTTCGTTTCTTCAGTCATCACAAACTTCATCCACTGTCATAGTTAAACAAGAGTTCAGAAACATTAGGGCTGCATTTGAAATCACACTCCCCTACCAAAAACAGCATGTGACAAAAATATCTCTATTCACAGTATTAATCAAAGTACCTGGATGACTTACTTTTTGATTGTGAAATGTGCATTCTTCAGTGAAGATGGACAATTTACCATCTCATGTGGCCACAGGACAGGATTTGTGAATGGCAGTGAAGTGACAACTTATGCTGGCAGGTGAGGTCACATGATAATTCATACAACACACTATCATACTATAGAATGTACATTAAGTAATTACTATTTAAAATACGTGCCTACTCAAGAGAGTATGGGATTTCAGAGGCAGCCTAGATTTCTACTGGAACACACACACACACACAGACACACATCTCATCTGAATCTCCTGAAATGAAATATTAGCAATATGCAACAATCCAAAAAGATTCTATTTAGTCAGAATAAACTGCACAGCAAAACTAATTCAAAACAAATTTGAAGAAAGCAAAATGTTTTAATTGGGACGGAGTGAATGAATTAAAGTAAGCCACAGGACAGAGATCCATGGCTCAGGAGAATCAAGCAACTGAGATCACATGACATTGCATCCCAAAAATGGTAACTTCTTCTAAAAAGTGTCACATTGTGACACCATGGCAGTGACACTCAAATTCAAGAGATTTGTCCTGACACATCTGACATGTGAGCTACATCTGTACAAGAAATGGGAATAAATCCGTCAAGCAGAACAGTGATAGGGTCTAAGCAGATGAATTACATATTTAGAGAGAGAGAGAGATAGAGAAAAGTTTACAGGAGAAAGCCGAGAATCTTTTTTAACCGATGGAATACATTGCTTTACAAGTTTTCTTTTTAAAATAGACCCCATTAAAACAAAGACCCAATTTTTCTAAGGCGTTTAACTCAAAACCAAGCCTGCAGAGGTTATATGCTATAACCGATTACTGCATTTCAAATAAGGCATTACAAATATCACCATAAATAAGCAAAAGCAGAGAGAAAAAAAAGAAAAAACCTGAATGGAGGGGCAGTTAGCGGGGGTGATATGCTTTGCTCTGCTGTGACCTTGCATGCATTTCACACCAGACTTCACTACTGTTATAACTGTACATTTGTATATACACAGTTCAGAACTTGGTATAAAATGTGCATGATCAAGAATAATAATAATAATAAAAAAAATCTTTCTCCGAAACAGACATGCTGCCCCCATATGACGATACATCCTTTGGTTTTTAAAGAAAATACAATTAAAAAGACAGACATTTAGCTTTTCTGCACATGGAAATTGGATAAATAGACACTAATGTGCAATTCTTGAAAACAAATGCAAACCTTGACGTGATGCAGCTTTAAATATACACTTGTATTATGGATGGAAAAATGCAAGGTAACGATCGAGATACATAAATCCGAACCCTGTAAAGATAGTTAAATAAAGTTGCAAAGCCAAGGCAGCCAGCTCTCCAAAAATAACCCTATTTCAAGCTGTGCCCCTTCTTTGCCAAATGTACACCGTGTGCATTAAGATCAGCACGTCCTTTACAAAGAAGAGAGAGCAGCCAGATGAATAACACTATTGCTGGTATAATTACACAATGTCACATATTGCAAAAGTATCATTTTAAAGATCCCTTATGAGGAAGCAGATGAACTCTAAAGCAGTTTTAAAATGAATTGTTCACCTTATCATTTGTTCTGAAACATTACATTTCTCACTTTTCTAGTATTATAAAAGTGATCCATATGACTTGTGCCATATGTTCCAAGCTTTTCAAAATCGTACAATATCTTTGTGCCAGAACATATCGAAATTTAAAATTCCATTCACTGAATTTTTGTTTTACTTAAACCCAAGAATAAAAATTCTGTCATTCATTCTCACCTTCAATGAGTTTCTTTGCTCTGTTGAACACAAAAGGTGATATGTTGAAGAATATCAGTAACCAATACTGGTCCCCATTGACTTCCATACTGTGAAAAAATAAACAAAATAATACTATGGAAGTCAATGGGGTCCATCATATGTCTGGTTATCAACATTTTTCAAAAAATAATCATATTGTATGTTCAACAGAACAAAGAAATTCATACAGGTTTAGAACAACTTGACGTTGAGTAAATGACTCATTTTGACTTTTGATGATGAATGAATTACTTTTTTATTTTGGGTGAACTGTCCCTTTAAGACTTAAACGTTTCCCTCTTATAGTTCACACAAATCTATCGCAATGGCTTCAGACGACTGCACAAGTTACATGAACCGCTTTTATGGTACTTTTTGCGTAAATCCTGCACGGAAAACGACGTGATCGAACATTCTGCCGTTCTGCCAATCTTTTGAGTTTTTAGGTGAACTACTCATTTAAAACTATTTTTAAATCAATAATAAATACATGATGATACAGGGTGAAAGACACAGCTACTGTCTAGCTGGCACCAAGGCACACACACATAACATGTCAAGATAAACAACTTAAATGGTTTGGGAACACTGTCGGGAACGTAAATGATGAACAGCTCTCTGGAAATGCACCAGTGAAAACTGGTTTGAGTGCAAAATGTGCCCAGTCTCAAATCAATCCAGTTCGCATTGCTTCCGGTTCGCTTTAAAAGAAAAGTGCACCGGCCGGAAAGAAAAAGAAAAAGAGAGGATTGGTTTAAAAACGTTGCTCGTTGTCTAGTTCTCCAATTATTTAAAAACACCTAGACTTTGAATCCTGAGTTATTGCAATGTTTCATTACAAATTAACTTGACATTTGTATTCACACTATTTTTCCTTTGAAGAACAGAGAACAGATGACAGTATCTTTGATACTGCAAATGACAAACAATAATCATTAATTAAATATTTCATTAATTTGAATCAAATTTAAGTCAATTCCTTTTTTTTCTACTTTTGAACATAATTTTTTGGCATTACCATTCTTTCGGAAGTTACAGTTTCTTTTCTTTCCATATGAATGCTTCAAAATCCTCTCCCTCCTTCCACATGGGCTGTTCCACGAGAGTCACAATCTCTTTTTGAAACTCTGCTCTTCGGTGCCTTTAAAACAGAACGCTCGGTCATAGTTATGGAAACATCCCAGAGATAACACGAATGAAGCATCCTTGAATGCGAGTCCTGCCGTAGGGAGCAGTCTGCGCCGAGGGATGAGTACAGTTGGGTTTGTCGTTCCTGTGTCATCCGCCCCCTTTCGTCTGTTTATTCATCTGTTTGTGTCCGCCGCACAACCAAGATTAGGGGGAAGTGGAGGCGGACGCATGGAACTTCACAAAAGCGATAGCCGCGAGCTCTTTGCAGAATTCCTCCAGAACAATAACCCCCTCGAGCAAAGTCACATGATCAACGCTGTAAGACAAAGATGAACCTCTTTATCACATAAAAACAGAAATACAGTAAAGAAACAAGTCTCTGATCAGGGTGCAAGATAGGGCTAGGCATTGGCACAAATTTCAAAATTCGATTTCGATTCACAAACTTGCGTTTCAATTCATTTCAGATCTCGATTTGATTCAGTATATATACATCAGGTAAAGTACAAGGAAATTTTCTAAAGGGGGGGGGGAAATCTCTTTGAACTGATACTGGAGACAGGCTAAAAATTATGTTTTAGTGTTCATGAATCAAAAAAAAAAACAGAAAAAAAGGACCAAAAATATAGATTCTTGGGATTTAAGAAGTGATATCAGTTCGTCAAAATGAGAAATCAATATTTTTAACCCAGTGCTACAGTATGATTTGTATATTATAATTATTGGCAAAAGGAATGTTTGGAAATGTAAACTGATATTTCCTACTAACACACTACCGCAAAAGATATAAATAACTGGCTTAAAACCATTTTTTTTTTCAGGTTAAAATGCTAATGTGCCTACGATTTTGCACAGAATTGTATACACTATATATACTGTATATATAAATATTTATATATGCTGGATATAAATGGTACATTAAAAATGATACAATCGGTTTATAAATGGTCTACTTCAATGGTTTAATTTTTTTTTAAAAATCACTTTATGCATTTATGGACATAAATGGTACATTATTAAACCATTGAAGTAGACCATTTATAAACTGATTCTATCATTTTTAATGTACCATTTATGTCCATAAATGCATAAAATGCATAAAGTGATTTTTTTTTAATTAAAAATGATATAATCGGTTTATAAATGGTCTACTTCAATGGTTTAATTTAAAAAAAAATCACTTTGTGCATTTTATGCATTTATGGACATAAATGGTACATTAAAAATGATACAATCAGTTTATAAATGGTCTACTTCAATGGTTTAGTTTTTTTTTAAAAATCACTTTATGCATTTATGGACATAAATGGTACATTATTAAACCATTGAAGTAGACCATTTATAAACTGATTGTATCATTTTTAATGTACCATTTACAGTGCCCTCCACAATTATTGGCACCCCTGTTTAAGATGTGGTCGAGTACTTTTAAAAATTCTCCCTTTTTTTTAAACAACATAGAATCCAAATGCAAAAAAAGAGAAAAATCCAACCTTTTATTTAAGTACATTACTTTGGTGGTAAAAAAAAAAAAAAAATTTAAAAAAATAAAAACTTCAAATCATGTGTCCCACAATTATTGGCACCCCTGATGTTAATACTTTGTACAACCCCCTTTTGCCAACAAGACAGCACTTAATCTCCTCCTATAACATTTCACAAGATTGAAGAACACAGAGAGAGGGATCTTTGACCATTCTTCTTTGCAAAATCTTTCTAGATCATCCAGTATCCTGGGCCCTCTCTTGTGCACTCTCCTCTTTAGCTCACCCCACAGGTTTTCGATTGGATTGAGGTCTGGGGACTGAGATGGCCATGGGAGGACCTTGAGTTTGTGACTGAACCATTTTTGTGTAGATTTTGCCACACGTTTTGGATCATTATCCTGCTGAAAGACCCAATGACGACCCATCTTCAGCTTTCTGGCAGAGGCCATCAGGTTTTTATTTAAAATGTCCTGGTAGTTCAAAGCGTTCATAATGCCATGCACCCTAACAAGGTTCCCAGGGCCTTTGGAAGAGAAACAGGCCCACAGCATCACAGATCCTCCACCATACTTCACGGTGGGCATGAGGTACTTTTCGGCATACACATCTTTTGTTTTACACCAGATCCACTTAGAGTGTTTGTTGCCAAAAAGCTCAATCTTAGTCTCATCCGACCAAAGCACACGATCCCAGATGAAGTCCCAGTGCCGCTTGGCAAACTCCAGACGTTTACGTTTGTCAGTGTTAGTGAGAAAAGGCTTTTCCTAGCATGCCTCCCAAACATCTTGTTGGCATGTAGAGAGCGTCTGATGGTTGTTTTGGAGATTTTGTGACCCCAAGATGCCACTATTTGATGCAATTCTGTGACAGTGAGCTTAGGACTTTTTTTTACTTTTCTTAGCATCCTCCTCACAGTGCGTTGTGGCAAGATAAACTTGGGACCTCTTTCAGCCTTGTTTGTCACTGTTCCTGTTGTTTTAAACTTCTTAATGATTCCTCTAACTTTAGATATGGGCAATATAAGGTGAGTGGCTATTTTCTTGTAGCCATTGCCTGACTTATAAAGGTCATCACACATCTGCCTTACTTGAATGGTGTGTTCTCTTGTCTTTGCCATGTTGACAAATGGGTAAGAGAATTAGGCCTCTGTGTCATGTCATATTTATACCCCAGGGAAATAGGAAGTCATGAATTACTAATTAAAAGTTCCTAGATATCCTGACCAACATTAGCAACTACAGAAAATATATATTTTTTTTTAAAATCAATTACATTTTTCAGCGGAATTGTTAGGGGTGCCAATAATTGTGGGACACAGGATTTGAAGTTTTTATTTTTCTAAATTTTTACATTTTTTTTTACCACCAAAGTAATGTACTTAAATAAAAGGTTGTTTAAAAAAATGTTGTTTAAAAAAAAGGGAGAATTTTTAAAAGTCCTCAACCACATCTTAAACAGGGGTGCCAATAATTGTGGAGGGCACTGTATGTCCATAAATGCATAAAGTGATTTTTTTTTTAAATTAAACCATTGAAGTAGACCATTTATAAACCGATTGTATCATTTTTAATGTACCATTTATGTCCATAAATGCATAAAATGATTTTTTTTTTAAATTAAAAATGATACAATCAGTTTATAAACGGTCTACTTCAATGGTTTAATTTTTAAAAAAAATCACTTTATGCATTTATGGACATAAATGGTACATTAAAAATGACACAATCGGTTTATAAATGGTCTACTTCAATGGTTTAACTAAAAAAAATTTAAAAAATCACTTTATGCATTTAATGTATTTATGTTGGAAAATCTCATCTTTGCTCATGATTTTTGCGCAATTAGACATAGATAAATACATCCAAGCCTTACCTCATGCCCTCTGGCTCTAGTCCCAGCAGTCTCTTCCTCACCAGGAGGAGTTTAGGGGTGAACTCAGGGATGCGGTGAGTTCGCAACATCAGATCGCCAACCACCTGATCAAACCATCAACACAAACAGTGGGTTAAACAGTCTTTAAGGAGTCTACATATAAAAATAATAATAATTGAACACTTATCCAGTCATTCAAACTATCCAACAAAAATGGCATTCATATAGCGCTACACTAAATTACACATACAGTCTAACAGACTTGGAGACTGCAGAGTTGGGATCATTTTGATTGCTAATTTGCCACTGATTGTTTTAAAATAGGGACTCAGTGTGTAGAACAGTATATGTACCCTGACGATGACCGAGAAGAGAGACCTGCAGCCCGGCGCCAGGTTAATGTACGGGTCCAGCAGGAACTCATGAAGATGAGCGTGAGGCAGCAGAGACAGCTTAGACAACACAGACGTCACCTGCAGGTTTACATCATACGGCTGGATGGAGACAGGGGAACAAAGATAGACATCCAAAGATCGTTTTAATAAAAATGCATCATTTTACAAATGTATTATCCATGTAAAGAAAGTGAATGAGCAATCTAAAAATGACAAACACCATTTAAGTGTAATAGAAGCACTATATTTGAAGTCTTCTGAAGCAATATGAATGTATCTAGATTTGGGTTATAGTCCACAAGTCGTATGTTCAACTTTTGTGGTGTTTTTGTCACGATGAGAGCTATCACACATCAGTTCACATACCTGATCGAGGATTCGCCCCATTCTGTCAAACAACACTTTGAGGAAGTGTCCTTCGAAAAAAGGACTGTCCAGATTACACTTCTCAAAGGGTTTTGGACTGCTGCGCCAGTCCCACTTCTGACAAACTCCACAATAGTCCCGAAACTGTCAACATGCAACCAAATATGATGATAATCACTCCAACGGTTGTGTCAATGTTAGTATTTTGCACTGCATGCTCATTTTTATAGGGCCGTAGAGACTCGGTGTTACACATTTTATTCTATAATTTATTATTATAAATCTTATAATAAATGTAATGCACTTTTTTTCTTTTATTTATTTAAAAATAAAAATTATTCATATAGCACCTTTCAGGCAAAGTTCTTCACACGGTCAAAACATTAGTCAAATATCAAACAAATACATCGAACATAAGAGGAAATAATCAAATACAACGTCTTAAAACGGTCAAATAAACCCATAAATGAATAAAACAAACTCAATAAAACTATGGAATAAATTGAATATTCACCATTTATTTTATTTCTTCCTTACCTGTCTGTGTGCATCTCTCAAGTAGGTGTCATAGCCTGTGCCCTCAACCTGATTGGACGATTTGGCCTCATCAGGGACCAAACACAGGAAGCTACAGGGGGAGAACGCACAATTAGAATATGGGAAGTTAATATTTATCACAAAATTATGAATATGGCAAATCACAACAGAGGGTATCCTGCGCTACCTGTTAACTATTTTGTGAACCTCCGTCTTCCCATCAGGCTTTGCATGTTCTGTGCTTGGTGGCGGAGAGCAGCTTAACCAATCAGGGCTGGAGATTCTGTTATCAGGTGAAAGATCTGAGAACAGCGGGTCTTCTTCCAGATCTCTGGGGAAACAATTCAAATCAATGTAATTTGACTATTACATGTATACTACATTTAAAAGAGATGACCCAAGAACAGAAAACAAGGAGAAGTAGTATAAAGCATCACTACAGCGAGATTTTTAAAGGAACAAATATGGATAACTCCACCATTTATTAGAATGAATGATTATGGATTTAAGTCTGCCACATTTTTGATTACTCAAACCGATTACTTAAAATGCCTCATGAACGGCTTACGACCAATAATATTTGGTTTAAGAATTGTTTATTCAGATCCTTCTTACAAATAAATGCATCTATTTATTGTACATTGTCATGCTGTTATCAGTGTTTTAGAAGTTCAATAAGCAACATTCCTCTGCACTTTGTGATTCAGCACAGTATCTGAATCAGTTTAATTGTATTAATGAGTGTCCATTTGTTTAACAAAGGAATGAAATGTTGTATGAGGCATTTATTTAAAAGTTGGTGTGTGTAATTTGTCTGTTGTCAAACGGGTTTCCCAAACAGGCAGTGCTGTCCAAAATGAAATGCATTGGTTGTGAAAATGTTGCACTGCAAGCTAAAACAAACATTTTTTTTTATTGCCACAGATACTGACCCAGTGTTTCACTTTTTCAGGGGAAGTCACTCTAAATTATAACGTTTTTTTTAACATACACAATTAGTATCATTACACAGCCACCTATCCAAACACATCTCAAAAATATTACTTTGGTTGACTTGCATTTAAGTTTTATTCATTCACAAATTGCAGTGCATTTTTGATGTTGCATGTTCTAGAAGCATGCATGCGTATCGATCAGAATGATCTGGAAGCAGTGGAGACAGCAGCTCTTACACGGCGTCATGTGGTTGGCCGTTCTCCATGTGCTCGCGCTCCTCTCGTTCCTCCGGCTGTTTGTTCTCCATGTAGTTGCGCTCTTCCAAGCAGCGCAGCACCAGGTTCTGCAAAATGTGCTGACATGGTTTCTGCAGCAGATGCTCAAAGAGCCGTAGAGTCATGATGCTTATCTAGAAGCAGACACAGAACTTCATGAATATAAACCTTAAGAATTGCTGCAGTAAATCTAGAATGCATTAACATCCCTTGACGGAGTAGTACCACTTCTTGTTTTAATTTATAGTGCAGACACTCGTCTTTTATTCTAAATGTAGATCGCAGTACAATTAACATATGAAGAGTTCAGATGCAAAAGCCTCTAAATGCCATTTGAAATTTTCATCTTTAATGATGATTTTTATCAAACTTGTATATTTAAGTTCAGTAATTTCACTTAAATAACAATTAATAGGTCATTATCATTGCCATTTAAGTGACATTACTGAACTTAAATATACAAGTTTGATAAAAATCATGAAAATCAATTGAAAATTTCAAATGGCATTTAGAGGCTTTTGCATCTGAACTCTTCATATGGAACCACAGAAGCTTTGCTAAATCAGGGGTTCACAACTTTTTCCATCAGCTCTAAACCTCTAAAATATATTTCTCATACTTTTTGAACGAACATGTCCAAGACTTCACTGTAGAAATTCATATTTCCAGTTTTTTCTTTAAGATTTCACAACTTTCCATGATTTTTGCAGTTCTGGACATCCAAATTGGTAGGAACTTGATTTAGAATTGAAGAGGCACACGAACCATTCAGTAAATAAAGGATGCACTGATATGAAAATGTTGGCAGATAACCGATAATTCTTTCTACTTGAAAGCCGATATATTAGCCGATAAATTTAAATCCAAATTTTTAGATAATTTTTGAGAGCTAATTACAAAAACACAAGTCACACTTCTAAAATCCATGTCCCAAGCACACAATTATAATGTTCTCATTATCATTTTATATAGTCAGCGTATTAACTGTATTTTCCTTTTTTGAAGTGATTCCAATCATATTTCAAGCAGTTCAAACCATCATGTTAACAGTGCACATCTGAAGAGTAAATAATCCATTGTTTATCGACTTAATAATTTTCTTATTAGGCCGATAACGGAAAATGATAAATTAACATTTACCGGCCGATACCGACATGGTGGACGATAAATTGCGCATCCCTAAAATAAATATAAAAGCCAGTATATTGTATATTCATTATGTTGTATGTTAATGTTTGACCTAGCCTTTAGGGGCTCACAAAACCTTTAGATCATCTGGTCAAAGATGGATAAAATGCATGGATTAATGCAGTCATGGTAGCCAGGGTTACCTCATCTGACAAGTGGTCACAATGTTCTATGAGTCTGTGTCTCAGGGGATGCTGGGTAATGCCAGCTAGTGTCTCTGGCCCCGTTCCCTCTCCCAACAGGAAGTAAATGGTCTCCTGAAGTAGGGCTTCTGACGTCACCTGTCTGATGATCCTGTTTAACAGGGCCGTGGAAGTCAGAATTCCAACCTCTGAGCTGGAATGAGACAAAAATGAAAAGAACGAGAAAGCGTGAGAAAGAAAACTCATATTTCCTGTTCAATTCGTAGCTTTGGGGTGGAGGTGTGTAATTTCAAAGTCTGTGAGACTTTTTGCTTACATACGTACGTTTGCATGAGCTGAGGCTCCATTACTGTAACAAAGAAGCGCTCTCTCACGGTCCGGGCCAGAACTGCAGCAGCCGTCTAACGTTACAGCGGAGCAAAACACACTTCAATATGTGAATTGATATTGATAAAAATGTTTAATTATGTATTTTCTAGACAGATTTTAAGCATGATTCAGTATGTACCCATCTTGTGTTTTTTGATTAAATTGTTTTTACCTTCTGAGCCTCTTTGATGAGCTGATCACAATAGTCCAGCCATGACAGGAAGGAAATAAGGGCACGTTTGCCCACAAAAGCAGCAGCATCCTCCTTTAGATTATACACATCCAGCCTACAAATACACACACCCTCAATAAACATTCAAAACCGTTTCACGTATCTCTGGGCAATGTTCACAATATATTTGTGATGATTTTGCTAGTAATAAAAATGTATCATAAATATTGCGTTTTTATTTAATGTATACAAATATAGAAAATAAACAATATTTTGTATTTAGATCAAATATTATGTATACTATTATATTGCACATGGATTCCAATTGTAATAGTAGTAGTAGTGTAGATACAAAAAATACTGGAGTTTAGAAACCAGTGAAAACATTTTGATTAGATATGATTTAATACTTAAAGGAGTAGTTCACTTAAAAAACTTTTGCTGATAATTTACTCACCAAGATGTCCATGTCTTTCTTTCTTCAGTCGAAAAGAAATTAAGGTTTTTGATGAAAACATTCCAGGATTTTTCTCCATATAATGCACTTCAGTGGGAACCAAACGGTTCAAGGTCCAAAAGACACTTTCAGTGCAAACTGCAAACTGTTCAGAGGGCTTTAAACGATTCCAGACGATGAGTAAGGGTCTTATCCAGCGAAACGATCGCTCATTTAATAAATAAATAACAAAATTTAAGTTTTATGAGCTCAAATGCTCGACTTGCTCTGTTCTGTGATGCACGTTTGTGACTCTCCAGTTCGAACTCGTTCATCAAAATGAACGAATCTTTTTCCGAGTCATTTGGTTCATTCAACGAACGAAACGAACAAATTGACTTGGAAAAAGACTTGTTCATTTTGATGAACGAGTTCGAACTGGAGTCAC